TGCAGCCTTGAGAAGAGGAGGCTGAGGGGAGACCTTCTCGCTCTCTACAGCTCCCTGAAAGGAGTGGGTAGCGAGGGGGGATCAATCTCTTTTCCCAAATAACAAGTGATGGGACAAGAGGAAATGGCCTCAAGTTGTGCCAGGGGAGGTTTAGATTGGATAGTAGGAGAAATGACTTCTTGGAAAGGGTTGTGAAGCACTGGCACAGGCTGCCCAGGGCAGTGGTGGAGTCGCCATCCCTGGGGGGATTTAAAAGCTGTGTAGATGTGGTGCTGAGGCACATGGTTTAGTGGTGGGGTGGGCAGTGTTGGGTTAACAGTTGGACTTGATGATCTTAAGGGTCCATTCCAACCTAGACGATTCTATGTTTCTATAGTGATCATCTTTCCAATGCTTAAAGGTAGATGAGCAAGTCCCACTTTCTGTGCCCTTAACAATAAAAGATGAATCCTAGTTTGCATCAGCCTCACTATTTTTCAGGAGAGCAGAATATATTTCCGGCAAAATGAGCCCCCCTCCTAAAAGACAGCTTTCAGGTGGAAATTAATCAGATATACAGATAAGACAATCTTGTCGCTAAAAAATCTCTTCAGGACAATCTTGTCCCTAAAGTAAAGAGGTTCAGAGGCCATTCTATAGAAACACTTTTCTTCCATTACTTCCTCATGGACTCAGCCAAACTCTTACGGAAAAACAAAGAAACAAATGCCAAAAACTCTTTTCTATGAGCTGCAAACAACATTCAATCGCACCACTTCAATCTACTTTGAAAATTTCTAAGTATAGGATCAAATTCTATAGGAATGTATATGTGGGTAACATTAAAACTTTAGAATAACTGCATTTACTTAAGGGGACATATCTCACATTGAGGCTACTGTAACTGACACATCAATATATACCAAATACAGACTGAGCCCCTAAAGCAGCAAGAGAAAGACAATGGGAAAATCTAACACGGTCCTGGAGTGCAAAATAAGGCTGTTTGACCGTTATCATGACAGCAGACTGTGACAGTTAAGAAAAATGAATCAAGAAATACTTTTCCCCTCCACAGAAATATTTTAGTTCTGAGACTTTTTAGTGTCTAAAAAGAACCCCAAAAGTTAGAAAATTCCAAATAAAAATTGTGCAATGAGGTCTGAGAATAAATACTGATAACTGGAGACATTTCCATCAAAAGATGCATTTTGATAATTTTTAAAATTTTGTTTTGATACAAGCTTGTTTTTCTTCACCTTTTTTTTTTATAACTATAGATTATCTTCTGCATGAAAACAAGAACCAGTTTCACCCTGGAATGCAAAACAGGGGATGTTTGGAGAATTTCAAAACTCATTAAAGCCTTTTTTTCAAATGTTGTACAATGATCCAGGGAGGTATCCTGATCTACACCAGATGGCCGGAGCTCCACCAGAGCTAGGTTTATGAAACAGGAAGCACTATATTTGCCAGACCCAGCCCTCGTGCACAAAGAGCTTCAATTTTGACAAAAGCATTTTTGATGAAAAACATTTAATTGAAAAATTCCCAGGAAAACCTCTCTAGAGAATATCATCCCCCCCTTGCTAAAAGTTTTGGAAAATAAAATACCCCAGACCCAAACCACGCATCTACCAATGCTTTCCCTAGTCCAATTTGGTATATAATAGGTAAGGGAATATTCTCTATGAAGATGAAGAGATGTTATCATGGGAGTATTGGATTTACTTATTTTTTAGGAACTCTATGCACATTTTTTAGCACTTTAAAGAACATAAGATTCCATAATTGCAAATTGTGCTGGAGGGAAAAATAAGAATTTGCATGAACGAGTGTGCAGAGTGAGTAAGTTAAAAAAAAAAAAAAATCAAGTTTCAGATCCTATTTGGGTAAAAATGTATTTGATACTTTTGAAATCGTAGTGACTGCAAAGATGCGTGACTGTTTTTTTGAGTGGTACCAGTTTGGGGTTTGGGTTTTTTTTTTTTTAATTACAACTCATCTCTCTACTGGACTTAGCTGCCCTTCATACCACAATGTCACAGTATCCCAGCTGGATATTACCACAATGTCATGGCATCCCGGCTGAAGGTATCTGTGCCCTCTAAGAGTTGTTGCAATTGCCCCCTCCTCCTTTTACAGTGCAGGAATGTTGAGTACAGAGACATCAGCAGATTGCTGCATCCCACCACGTACCACTTTGCCCAAGGTCATGGTGGAGGTCCTTCTCAGAGTACGGCACCAATTCTGGTGTCATTACTCTAAAAACTAGCCCAAAACCGAATTCCTTGTAATCTGACTTTTCTTGATATAGTTACCAATGATACCTTTTTTTTTTTTTTTTTCCCCACAAGTATTTAAACTGAAAGATTTGCAAGGTCTTTATGATTCAAGGCAGGACAAACCCACTTTCAGTGCTTCCTTTGTTACAAATCCCCAGCTGCAATCTCAGTCCCATGTGGAAGAAGCAAACGGTTTCAGCATCCCGGGCTTTATGAGCCACCCCTGCGACCTGCTGCATCATGCTCAGGAGACACACTGAAGAGACAGAGCAACATATTCCCTTCCTCACATAGTTCCGAGAAAGAAACTTTACTTTTTTAGCTAACAAGAGAGGATAACTTCACTTTTTAGCAAACAAGAGAGGGTCCCAGAGACATTCATCCCTCACCTCAGTTCTGAGGAGGTGTTCCCATGGATGGCAGTGGAACTCTGTCCCTTTTCCTCTCTGGCATTATCTAGTCTTGTCTCATGTCCTCTGGCTCACCAGAAACACAGGTGATCACCAGGACTCCCATGTTGGTTGCCCAGTTTCTTGTAAAAAACAGGAAAGAATCTGGCTGCTTTAAACTAATCAACAAAACAATGCTGATTTACACCCAGTCGTTGCCTGGCCCAAAGCCCCATGAGAAAGAAACCTGGGAGATGCTGCAAAGCTCCTGTTCTTTTCCCAAAGGGCAATGACTTTCCCCAAAGGACAATTCCCAAAGGACGGTTCCCCAAGGACAATGCCTTGCAAAGAAATCCTGCTCTGTCTTACAATGTCTGTCTGGCACATGGTATTTACTGGGAAAGCTGTTCCTAAAGATGCGTGCAGGGGTCTCTGACATTGCCTGTGAATGTGTGTGGTGCAGAAGGAGCAAAGGGGAACTAGTCATTTTTAGATCTTTATTCAGTTATTGTGTTTTTATAAGTCAAGAGGTCACTCTTTGATTGTCCATTTCATGGTCATTTCCATAGGAATATAATATTTCTTTCTCCTCATCATTCTCTGAGAGAAATTTATTTTGAAATAAAAGACTCACTCTCAGATATCTGCTGAAGGGTCAATTCCCATGGAAAAAAAAAAAAAAGTGTTTTAAAGGGAAATAGATCTTCAGGGTCATTTCACTGGAATCACCTACTTCACAGCTTTAAAACCTCTAGCATTTCTTAAACATTGGCAGTTCCCTGTCAATGGGGTGATTCACTGAAAGTGCAACGTGATGCCAGTTAAGCAGCTCAGGATTAGAGTAGTGACCCCAAATCTTCCCAAAATCTATTTCTGAAATGGCCTTGGAAACCAAATCTTGTCCTTACCCATTTGAGTGAGACTTCAGCAAATGCTGCTGAGATCAGCAGTGACTCTTTCCAGCAGGGACTTATTTAAAGGAGGAGTAGGAGAAGGCTCATGCCCTTTGGACGAATTCTTGGGGCAGAACCTGAACAGCTGGTCATTCAGGAAATCTGGATTTTTGCCCAAGTTTCTCTCTGCCTTCCAAAACACATACTTTTGCCATTCAGCAAAACACACACTCCTTTGCCATTCAGTTGGGCTTTTCTGGAAAACCACAGGAGGTGGCACTGGCTCACTTTAAGGAAGTCCTAGGCTGATGATGTCTACCAAAGTGATGAGAGAAATTAATTCAACCCATGCTCCAAGCCCACACCAAGCCTACCATGTGGCCTTGGCCGTTGGTTACTCAGTGGTCAGCCCTGAGTGCAGCCGAGCCTTCCTGGCTTCTACCTGAAATATTGCCTGCAGAGGAGCAGTATGTTTCCCACTGAAGTCGATGAAGCTCACCTGCAATGAAATTTGCTGCTTTGGGGCTAAGACAAATAAGTCTGAACATCCTCAGATCAAACAAGATCCATCTTTTAGCTCCTCTGTTTAGCAGAGCCCTCAGTGATTTTGCTCCCACTCTTACTCTACCTGTGGTCATTGCCTTTACTGCACACTTTCTGCTCAAAACCAAAAGCAATTTTTGGAGATCATCTCACTGCATTGAATATAACACCACTAGAACCACCACCAACCCAAGCCCCACCAGCCCGCTTCCTCCCACGCCAGCTCAAAAGATACGTACTTTGATAGAAGCTGGGTTAAATTCAACTTCTTTTTTGGGTTCTGGTTCTGCTGGTTTAGGTGCTGGTTTGGGTTCTTCCTTCTTAGGTTCGGCCTTCTTAGGTTCAGGCTTCTTTGGAGCCATGTTGGTTTGCTGGTGGGCTGCTTTAGGAAGGGAGAGCAAGGAGACAGACAGACAGAGAGGAAAGAGGTGGCTGCTGCAGGATAAATCACCAGCGCGCACAGGTCTTTATCCCTGTCCAGTCTCTTGAAGTCACACATTGTGTCACTCTCAGACCTGTCACATGCCAGAGCTTACAATAGGGCCACTGCTATAAAAGGACAAGACATTTACCCAGCTATTTTAGAGCCATCGGATACGGCATTGTTACGAATTAGCACTTAAATGGAAAGAGAGTTTGGGGATTTTAGGGCTGAGGCTGGCGCTGGGTCAAACATTTTTGGTGTTCATGGGCATGGGTGTATGTGTACAAGGGGGGAGGTTGGGTTACAATCCAGGTCCTATCGATGGGTTTTATCCTCCCCAGGGCCATACTGACACTTATCTTCCCAGCTCACTTGCTGCAGAGACTCTCTCTTCCAGGCTGGATGGCACCCCTGGCCTTTGTTGTGCCACGGCTCGTTAAAAGACAAGCGCAGGTTTATATTTAGATGTGAGGATGAGGCTATATGGGAGGTTGACCATCAACATGTCAGCTGGCGCAGGGGAGAATTCATACCCCAGATCACACACTGGTCTTCCCCTGGGATGGTGCAAAGCACCGGTATTGCTTATAGCAGAAAGCATCTAATGAGCAGGGAAACACACACACACACACACACACACACGTACACACACACACATACAGAGGCGGGGATAGCACTGGGTGTCTGTGAGTACATCCTCATGGCTGAGATTTTCCAGACCATTTTAGGGACTTGAATGCCAAATTACTATTAAAGTAACTAAGATAATGGTATCCCTTTGAAGCTTTTCTAACCTCAGGTTTACTTTGATTTAAATAAACCCCCTTCAGAGCAAAACAGAGTTAACAATTTTCAGATCTGAGTTTGCTTATGGCATTTTTCTGAAAGACGAGACCACTCTCTGAGACACGGTCGCTTCCACATTGCCTAGATTTATTTTTTTTTCCCAAAAAAATCATAATCCCCTGTAACCAGACAACCACCCACCAAATCACAATGTATTTGAAAAGGGGATCTCTGCTGGCATTTCAGTTGAATCATAAATCTCTTCTTCTTACTTCCAACGTTGTCCTGATAATCTACAGTTCAAGCCCCTTTGAGACCTACTTTTCCCAACACTGCTGTCAGCTTTACTCCCTAGTGCCTCCCTCGTCACCCTCCTCCGTTCTCTGGGTGGCTCTACTGGAAGAGCACTCATGCTTTATCCTGCCCAGCTGCTCCCAAATCACGGCACATCCCTTACTGGCAGCACACAAACAGCTTTGAAGTGTGACATGAATGCTACGCAGAAAGCTGGCCGCCCCTGTTAAGCTGCTGTCTCCCCCATGGCTTCAGCAACTGAAAACAGTTGAGGGTCCTGGAGAGGCTGGAGGGGGAACGGAAAAGGGCTGAGCTTTGTTTCTATACACCATAGCGTGCAGTTCCAAGTCCTACCTGAATGAGAGCTTGCTTTCTGATTCCAGGTTTGAGGCAATGCCACAGTATTTCTTGCAGTAATAAAGACATCACAGCAGTAGCATGATTATCACAGTTACGGTAATTTGTGCTTTTTGGATCATGGGAAGCAAATCTTATTCCTCTAATCAAAGAGGATGCTGTGGGAATGTTGTCTATAACAGGAGCCATGAGCTGCTCCTGAGCAAGCTGCAAGTATTTTGGTGTTTTGGTGTTTCAGGGACAGCCTGGAGAATTGCATTTTTGCCTGCAGCCTGTCACCTTCCAGGAAACTCAATTCTGGTCCCCTCCACAGAGGTGGTAGTAGAGAAGGGATGTGCCTTCATGAGAAGTGGTGCAGAGATTTGTCTGCTCACTCTGACCAGACCAGACTCTAGTCCTCTTCAGTTCACCACAACCACAGATCTATACTAATGGAGCCCACCAGTCCCAATCTGTTTACTTGGTCACCTGGGGAAGAAGTTTCTGACAGCAGCTTACCAACGTGTTGAGCTACTCCCTACAACCAGTGCAGCCAAGGGAGCAGTTCATCTTCCCTGAGGTAGAAACCTGTATTTGCTCCCTGAGTTATAAGGTGGGATTTGTTTGCATTGGAGATGTAACAGAGATGCACTAGATGATCCCACCTGGCCATCAGCTGCCATTGCAGAAGAGCCTCAGCCTCCCATAGGGTCTGTGCCATAACTATATACCTGCCAGTCCCATACTTGTCTCAGATACTACAGTGTTTCAGAAATGGCTCTAGAAACACTTATATAGGCAAATTAATCCAATAACCTGTGGATTACTAAACTACAGGACACCCACACAGTTCTGGAGAGGCCATTGTAGGTAGAGGCATCTCAAATGGCACCAAAGATTTGCATTTAAGCAACTGAGTGAGGCCATAGATACCTACAGCTGAAAGAGGTGCATCACCCTCACCCTGAATACATGGACTAGACCTCTGCTGACTGTGATGGGAACTATGCCCACCACAGGATGCCACCATGGGAACTCTGTGACATAGTTCCCATAAAGATATTTTCATTGTAGACACCTAAATTAAGAGACATGAACCCTACTCAGGCTGAAATCCATCTTCTCAGATTTCCCTCATATTGCAAAGCCCCACAGTAGAGGTTTTTCTGCAGGTTTCTATTTTTCATTTACCCATTTTCTGTCCAGGGCAGACAAGAATAAAGTGTGACGTACCCTGCTGATCAGAATAAGCAATCTCTGCAAATTTTGCAAGCTGTAGCTGTTTTCTGCAAAGAAATAACTGAAATCATGCATTCTTTTTATGCCCTGTAAGAAGGTTTGCTGCATTGATTTCTGCATTGAAATGAGTCATGGCTGGAGAATTGTAGGAGCTTTCTACAGACCCAAAGAAACACCAGGGTGTAATTTCACCATGTTCCCCCACTACAGACTTCTCGATTGACATCGCAGGAGCCAACAGAGACCCAGGAAATTCTGGGTTCTGCTAATTCAAAGCAGCAAAGCTGCAGTGCAAATTAGCATGTGCTCTGAGAGCAGCCGTAACCACAAGGACAGCGTCTGAGCAGGCACCAGCCTACGCGCGTAAGTGTGTTTTACACAACACTTGAAAAAGCCACCAGGTCTTATTCCTGAACTGAAAAGAGCACTGGAAAATATCAGGCAATTAAGATGCCAGCAGCAGCTCAACAGCAGCTCAGGATCTTGTCACCTCCACCTCTGTGAGATAAGAAGAGACCATAATAACAGGGAGAGTCGTATTGCACTTTCTCTTCCGAATTCCACGAATCAGCCATGGTTGTGGGGCCTGTAGGTGGCTTCCCTCCACCCCCCTTAGCTTTTCTGTAATAAAAAGATATTAGAGAAATAATAGCAAAGATGTCCCAGAAAGATGGCTGGAAGCTCACCTCCTCCTGATTCTCAGCCAAAATTCAGTGGTGTTACTGTCGTACAAAGATTAACTCAATCTGTTTTTTTTTTATATATTCATGATAATGTATATTCATGATGCAGCTGGCGTGACACAGTTCACAGAAAAGATCCTTTGCACTTCTGTCAAAATCAATATGGTTGCAGCATCCTGACACTTTCTGTAAATTGCCAGTTCTGGTTGGAGGGGAGACTTCTGGTAATGCCAAAAAATCCCAGGTAAACACTTTGGGATTTTTATTCAGTCTCTTACCTGTCTGTGCCTCCTTTACACCCATGGCATGTTCCCTCCTGACTTCTATTTAGTTTATTTGTGTAGACCTGCCAGTGACCAAAATACCTTAACAGATCAGCCCTTTCTCACAGCTTCAGGTGGTCCTTCATCTTCATTTGCTTTTTTGTCACAAGGTAGCGCAGACAGCAGGCAATACCCCCATCTATGCAATTACGGCATATATGTATGCTTATCTTTATTTAAATACACAATGTCAAGGCAAAACAGGGAGGTACATTATGAGTTTTAAGTACCTGCAGGGCTGGCTAACCGCTGCTGGGTGGATATCTTGGACCAATTCCATGGATTAAAGATACTCCAATGCCCTGTAAATCCTTCTGCAAACAGCCAAATCAATGCAGCTAATCTTGCCCTAAATCCCACATTCATCTCTTCCATGAGGACCCCCAAAGTCCCAGCAGCTGCAAAAAAAATAAAAAAAAAAGTACCCTGACCAAAAATCCCTCTTCCTATTAATAGGTTTTGAAGGGCAGGGGGCGCAGGGTTGTGCTCTTTAGTTTTTCAGTCATGCTCACAACAGACATTAGCAGTAGATCTCAGTGCCAAAAAGCTATCCCAGGGTCACCCTCGAGTCCCACATGAGAGGCTGGGCTAGCTGTGAATTTTCTAAAATTCTCTTGATCATCCGGGTATGATAAGTTTCTCCTGAGAGATGGTCCGGGATCATCTTCAAAGAGAGCAGAGCTCATCAAGACATTTCCCACAGAAAAAAAAAATTGGATTTAAGAACCACAAAAATAGAATATAAGTGAAAACAAAATATTCTGGCCAAAATCTGTATCATTTAAATTTAGGATTACTGCCATAGTGTCTTATCATTCTCTGGTCCTTGATAAGTCTGTCTGCCCGCCCAGTTTTACTGGAATCATAGAACAGCCCAGGTTGGAAGGGACCTCAAAAGATCATCTGGTCCAACTTTTCATAGGAAAGGGAGCCTAGATGAGATTATCTAGCAATCTCACTCCATTTACTGCAGTTTGCCACACTCCTCCTCAGACCAAGTAAAGGAGATTGTATAAAGAATGTGAATCGCCCCTTTCTGATGGAAATTAAGAGCTAAGAGAAGTTAAGAATTTTCATGAAATACTGTTGTGGGACATTTTAATTGAACTATTTGGGGCCAACATGTATCAGTTTTCAGATATTTGACTTCTCAACAGCATACCTTCCCCCGCCCCCAAGTAGGTTGGTGGGGTTTTTTTCCATTAAAAATAAAATTAATCTTTGAGTTTAAACTTCAATTCTCTCTTCAAAAACAACTGTTGATGGAAACTCTCCAGACATCTTTATATGAGAGGTTGAGAGCACGTCAAAGATGTTCTCTCTCCAACCAAAAGTGGTTGTGCAACTT